GAATCTTACTTGGTTATGAGATCATGAAGAGAAATTGAGAAAATGCCAAGTAGCAAACAGAAGTAGCTGTTTGCCCTAGAAGGATTATAAAACAATACGCAACTCTTTAGCCAAAGGCAACAGGTGGGCTGAACAAGATGGAAGCCAGAACTACCGCACTGATAAGCTACACAAGAAACATACTTTACTCAGTTCAAAACTAGTCAAATGTTTGTATTTAAATTAAGAACTGAAAACTCAAAGCCTTGAATCTTTGAGATCAGATTTAGATTGATGAAATCTGTGTCTTTCAGATACACTGTGGGCAGGGCTGAGTTCCTGCTGGAAATGGACCCTTGTTAAAGGGAGGAGACAGATCCAGTCCCTCAGTCCCCAACAGCACGGTGACTGTGAGGTTGCACCGAGGTTACAGCGATACAGGTTTGTGCTCCAAGCAACACCATTCACCTTACACCCTGGCTCCAGGGCTCTGTCTGTGTGGAAAGTCAAAAACAAAACCAAACAAAAAGCCAGATGTTTGGCTAAAACATTCCAAAATTTGCAATGGCTTGAGAGAACATTGTACATTTTATTCAATCTTAATCTACTTTCCTTAATTTTATTCTACATTTGAAAGTGGGAAACTAGCCCCATGGAAATAGCATTAAAGCAACATGAGAGGGAAGATGAGTCTCCTAACATTTGAAGAAAAGGATAATATATGTCCTCCTAATTTTATCAGCCAAGCTGTACTTCATTGTGCCTTAAACCAGAATGCTTGATCCGTATCTTGGGGCTCTGGGAGGAGGGTAGCTACTCCCCATGAGCTTTACCCACATGTTCAGTGCTGCTTCTGCTACTGCCACAGAGGAGCGGGAAAGGTGGAAATAACCAATGGCACCCACCTGCCCTTTCTACTGCAAAGCTAGAATAGCATGGTGCCTTCTACTTTAAAGTTTCTTCTACCAATTATAACTCACTTCACCAACACCTTTCATGATAGCTCAGGGAGCAGGAGAAATGAAACTGTGTGGAACCATTAGCCTTTAATAATTAGAGAACTCTGGCTTCAGCTGTGGGTGAAAGGGAGGAAATGCTGCTACTGAGAAACAAAAACAACTCGGGAAAAATCATCTGTCTCAACCCTCTACCTTCCCTGTTCTGCAGGGCAGGGTCCTTTGCCTGAGGCTCCAAACTCTGCTCACCCTGGAAGGTTCCCACTGACCCCTGCAGGGAATATGGGTAGGAGTCCAGACTGTCAAGGATGGGTGCTTTGGGCATGTTCTGTGCTGCAAACTGATCTCGTGGTATGAATGCCAAGGAAATCCTCCCCTGTACCCTCTTGTGTACCTGGGTAATAAGTTGAGGACCACTGACAAAGCCATCATCAATGGGGACCCCAAGAAAATCTGGGGCTCCTGACTCTGGTTTATGCATCATAAGAAAAACCTTTTTTAAATGGAGTCACTCAAGTTTGTGCTTGGGTCCCCTAAATTGTGGGTTTGGGTTTTTCTGGGGATATGCCTTTTGCCTTTTCAAACTGGGGAAATGAAAAGTTTTTGTTGTTGTTGTTTTTTTTAACGTCCTTATTTGTAGTAAAAGAAATAATAGGGCTCAAAAATTAGTCACCTAGTTACCACTCTGCTTAAGGATTACCTACTAGAGGCAGGTACTTCTCTGTTCTGTATGGCAGGTATCTGCATATGCCCCATCCCCGGGGTAGAAAGGTCAGGGCCACAGAAACAACCTTATAGACCTGTTTGTCAGGAGAATTAGACTTACTAGAATCCCTAGATTGGCAAGTAGTTGAGAACTATCCCCACTTTCCAGAATACTTCTTAAGGCCTATCTATAAGCGTTGGGAATATTTTTATATTAATGGGCTCTACAGGAAATTATAAGTAAATCAGCTGTTACAAACAAAATTGCATGTCAAGGGAGTTATAGGGGCACCTAGCTGGCTCAGTTGGGAGAGCATGCAACTCGATCTCAGGGTAATAAGTTCAAGTCCTGCACTGGGTGTAGAGATTACTTAATAATAAAATCTTAACAACAACAACAAAAAAACTCGGAGTTACATATGAAATGCTAAAAGGCCAAAAAACACTGAATTGCTATATTGGGCAATATTTACTTTCCCCAGGTATTTACTAGAATAAGAATATTCTGAAAGACAGCACTAATCTTGGCTAATTTGTAACTACCATTTAAAACTCAATTACCCGGGGGCGCCTGGGTGGCTCAGTCGTTAAGCGTCTGCCTTCGGCTCAGGTCATGATCCCAGGGTCCTGGGATCGAGCCCCGCATCGGGCTCCCCGCTCCGCGGGAGGCCTGCTTCTCCCTCTCCCACTCCCCCTGCTTGTGTTCCCTCTCTTGCTGTCTCTCTCTGTCAAATTAATAAAATCTTAAAAAAAAAAAAACAAACCCATATCATCACTTTGGTTGGAGGATCCACCTCTTAAATGTCTTTCAGGACTTCCAACTGCCTACACCAATGGCTTGCATCTGCTAAGACACAGCACTTTGCCCCTATACCTTTCATGCTTTGCAAACATACAACCACCTCCTGGCGAATAGGTAAAATTCCATTTTGCCAAGATTAAAACTTTTAACAGTAATTTCTGTCAGAATGCTGATCTGAGCGACTTGTGGATATTGAGTAGAATGCAACTTGCTACAAATAAGGGGAAGAGGCTTAGAGTCACAAGTGTATGCCAAGGGAACTAGCTTGTGCTTATTGGAATTCGTTGAGAACATTGCCTCCCAAGATTCAAGGGTGTATGTCTGGGAGTAAACAGCTCTATTCAAAAAAAAAGGTGCTGAGGGTCAACCTAGCAAATAGTGAGGTAACTACGGAAGCTTTTATAGACGCTGTGAGACTGTATACTATCGTTTGTACTGTAATTGCTGCTGGCTTGTTTAATGTTTCTGGATGTTTGATCCTTTCTGTTGTCCTGCTAAAAATTCTAGTATTTGAAGGTGTGCTACAAAACCAAATGAAAATCACTGAAGACTTAAGTCTAGATTCCCCACCACAACCTACCAGGTCCTTCTCATTTTGACCCCAACCTTTCTCTCCAGCCTTAACTGCTAATTCTGGCCCCTTGAGTCACATGGGACCACATGTTGCTCTTGAATTAAATTAGCTTTTCCACATCTCTGGGACTTCATATGCAGAAGAAACATTATGTTCTTGGTTTTTCTGCACTCAGTTATCAAGACACAGTTACAATATTATCTCTTCCCTAATGTTTTCCCTGACTCGCCCAGTGAGAGGTCATTGTTCCCATAGTCCTTTGCACATGACTTCTTTATTGCATGTACCCTCATGTTTTATAATCCCTGCCCTACAACTATCTCCAAGGCATCAGGGATGGAGTTCCTGGGGGCAAGAACTTCATTCATCTTTGAATTCCCAATGCTTGAGATGTTACGAGCCCTTAAATGTTTGTAGAATTGTCTGTTTTGGCCAAGATTCAGGCCCCTATGACTTATTACTAATTAATCTTTCAAAAATTATCTCCTACAACTCTGCTGTATGCACTTTATGCTCAAACCAAGCTAGACTACTTTCTGTTCCTGAAACAGAACTTACCCTTTCCCACCTCTACAAATGTGCTCATGTGATTCAAAGTATTCTTATATTTGGGACACTCACCATCTCTCCATGATAGCCACCTACAAAACTTCTATCCCTATAACCAAGCTCATAGTCATGTTCTCCCAATAAGTCCTCTCTCATGCCCAAACTAAGCATTTTCTCTGAACTTTTTAATACTTGGTTATACAGTTCTCGGGACCCTTAGCGCAAACAAGTGTGGATTATAGTCACTTGTGTCTATTTTACCTCCCTCACTAGGTTATAAAAATCTCCTTGAAGCAGGAAAGATACCTTCTTAGTTTTTGTTTTCTCATTAGTACCTATGCAGTAGCTTGCCCATAAAAGGTACAGTTTTTCAAGTGAATGAATGAAATAAGTGATGCATATGTCTAGTGCTTCATACCATTCACTATATTCTATTTACCTATGCTATCATACAATTACAGTTTATGTAAAGGAGCCATCTCAACATTTCCTTGGTACATTAGGCAATTGTTATCATGTGTAGCAAATTCTTGTATCACACTCTCCACACTATTGCAGGCTGGTTTCCTTACTGAGATAAATTTTTAAAACTCTACCCAGGGTGGAGGTGTTAACTAATCCTATTGTGGTAATCATTTTGCAATATACAACATACATGTGTATGAAATCATCACATTGTACATCTTACATATGTTAGATAATAACTCAAAGCTGGGGGGAAAAGCCCCTACACAGATGTTCTCCTCTTACTCTGGAATCTGAAAATTCTAATTTGTAACACAGAGAATAAGTCCTAATAAAAGGGCATTCCAATTCTCCTTTAAGCAAAGTTAGTTTCTACCTACTCTTTGTTTCAACTCACGCATATATAATAGCAATTAGTTCTACTGCTTTGTATTTTATGTTTTCATCTTTATCTCCCCTACTAGATTTTGAGCTTCTCAAGGCTGATAACCCTCTTATCTCTCTATTGATCAACCTATAATAATTAGTTTACATATATAAATATATTTTATTTATTTTATATTTATACAGTTGATCCTTAAACAACATAGGGGTTAGGGACATCAACAACCACATAGTTGAAAAATCTGCATGTAACTTTTGACTCCCCCCAAAATTAATTACTAATAGCCTACTATTGATCAAAAGCCTTACCAATAACCTAGTTGATTAGCACATAGTTTGTGTGTTACAGGTATTATATACTGTATTCTTACAATCAAGTAACCTAGAGAAAAGAAAATGTTAAGAAATCATAAGAGAAAGTATATTTATAGTACTGTACATGTTTGTTGAAAAAAATCCACATATAAGTGGACCCCCACAATTCAAACCCATGTTGTTCAAGAGTCAACTGTATACAAACATAATGTAAATATTTTTAGTATTTATATATAAATATAAGAAGTACATATAGAAAACTGCTGCCACATCCTGGGGTCATGATGGGCAGTAAGATGGCGTCTGCCAGCAGGGTCGTTCAGGTAGTCAAGCCACATACTCCATTAATAAGGTTCCCTGACAGGAGAGACAATCCTAAACCTAACGTATCAGAAGTTTTGAGATCAGCAGGACTACCATCTCACTCTTCTTCAATTTCACAGCATTCTAAGGGAAGTAAATCCCCAGATTTGCTGGTGCATCAGGGTCCACCAGACACTGCAGAAATAATAAAAACATTACCTCAGAAATACAGGAGGAAACTTGTATCTCAAGAAGAAATTGAATTTATCCAACGTGGAGGTCCAGAATGATCACTGACAGTGTGGCTGCTCTTTTTCATCAGACAGAAGACTAGTCTTTACAATAAAGGACTTCCAAAATGGCACATGAGAAATTATATAGTAAATAACTTGAATAAATACTCTGCAAAAAAAGAAAAAAAGAAATCTAGAAAATTTAGATGGACAATTGTATCTCCTAATATATGTATCTTGGTCAGCTTCTCCACAAGCTTACCTAATTGTTTATATACTTTGTATTTATTAAAGTATACATTTTTCCAATGTTAGCCTATTACTTTACTCTTGATTATCAAGTATTACCAGTGTTGAGCTACTAAAAGCACACAATATCTAGTAAACTATCACAGGTTTCCCATGGTTTCCCTTTTGTTTCAGTTTCTTTTTAGACATGGAAAGATTTATTAGAATTGCTGCTTTTGGGAAGTGATTTTCCTGCAATTGGATGAGGATCAGTGAAAGAATGACTCCATTATTTGTTCTTAGTTTTCTTCCCCTTTTTTTCATTCACAAAGTTACTGGAGTATAACTAGTTTAAAAAGTGTATCCTACACTAAATGATAAAAATATAGTCAAGGTAAAACAGGTGACTTTGTGGCATTAAAACTGGGAGTTAATACAAAAGATTGTTTGTAACCTGTATTCAGAAGAAAATACCAGAGTTTAAAATGGAAAATAAGAGATCAAAATGAATATAACCTAGAAATAGGTGTTTGATTAGAAATTGCAACTTACTATGTTATTAGGGGTGTTGAGAAAGTCTTATTCTTTATTTTACTGTTTTAATTGTCATCATCTGTGCAAATTCTGGAAACCACTAACTTTCTCAAACTTAATGTCTGAAAGTCTCATAAAATCAACCTAAATATTTACCTTACTAAGGCAATTTATGAAACTTTAATAGGGTCCAAGGGTATGTATTATTGTGAAAGTAAAGCCTCACAAAGCTAAATAAATTTTCTTCCATACCTTGAAAAAAAAAAGTACATATAAGTTATATCATTATTATGCCTGGCAATATTTTCCATTCTATAAATATTATTGAAATAATGGACAGTTGTTTTTTTTTTTTTTTTTTACTAAAGTATAGTTGGCATACAATGTTGTATTAGTTTTGGGTATATAAAATAGTGATTCGATAATTTTATACATTATACAGTGCTCATTATGATAAGTATAGTTACCATCTATTACCATGCCAGGTTATTACAATATTATTGACTGTATTCCCTATGCTGTACTTTTCATAGCAGCCACTTCTTTGTTTTATAACTAGAAGTTTGTGCTTCGTAATCACCTTCACCTATTTTGCCCATTCCCCTACTCCCGCCAATCTGGCAACCACGAGTCTGTTCTCTGTATATGAATATGAGTCTTTTGGTTTTGTTTGTTCATTTGTTTTTTATATTCTGCATATAAGAGAAATCACACAGCATTTGTCTTTCTCTGTCTGACTGATTTCACTAAGCATTATACCCTCTAGGTCCATCCAGGTTGTCACAAATGGCAAAATTTCATTCATTTTTATGGCTGAGTAATACTCCATTTTGTATATATACCACATCTTTACCAATTCAAGCTTTAAGTTACTTTCATACCTTGGCTGTTGTGAATAATGCTTCAGTGAACAAAGGAGCACATACATCCTTTCAAATTAGTGTTTTCCTTTTCTTTGGGTAAATACCCAGAAGTGAAATTGCTGGATTATATATGGTAGTTCTATTTTTAATTTTTTGAGAAATCTCCATACTCTTTTCCATAGTTGCTGCACCAATTTACAGTCCCACCAACAATGTACGAGAGTTTCCTTCTCAATACATCCTCACCAACACTTGTTATTTCTAGTCTTTTTGATACTAGCAATTTCTGACAGGTGTAAGGTGATCTCTCATTGTGGTCTTGATTTGCATTTCACTAATGATTAGTGATGTTGAGCATCTGTTCATGTGTATGTTGGCCATCTGGATGTCTTTTTTAGAAAGGTGTTTATTCAGGTCTTCTGCCCATTTTTAATCAGATTGGTTTTTTTGGTGTTGGCTTGTATGAGTTTTTTATATATTCTGGAATTTAACCCCTAATCAAATATATCACTTACAAATATCTTCTCCCATTCAGTAGGTTGTCTTTTTGTTTTGTTGATGGTTTCTTTCACTGTCCAAAAGAATTTTAGTTTGATGGAGTTCCAATAGTTTATTTTTGCTTTTGTTTCCCTTGCCTCAGGAAACATTCAGAAAAATGTTGCTAAGGTGAGTGTCCAAGAGATTTACTGCCCATGTTTGTTTTTGTTTTTGTTTAGGAGTTTTATGGTTTCAGGTCACACATTTAGGTCTTTTTTTTTTTTTTTCTGAGATCTTACAGGTGCTTTATTGTACACATTTAGGTCTTTAATCCATTTTGAGTTTTTTTCTGTATGGGGTAAGTTGTTCAGTTTCATTCTTTTGCATATAGCCATCCAGTTTTCTCAACATCATTTATTGAAGAGCCTATCTTTTCTCCATTGTATATTTTTGCCTTTTTTGTCTGAGATTACTTGACCATATAAGTGTGGGTTTATTTCTGGGCTCTCTATTCTGTTCTATTGATCTATGTGTCTATTTTTGTGTCAGTACCATACTGTTTTGATTACTATAACTTTGTGGTATAGTTTGAAATCCAGGATTATAAGACCTCCAGCTTTATTTTTCTTTCTCAAGGTTGCTTTGGCTATTGGAGGTCTTTTTGTTGCCATCAAATTTTAGAATTATTTGTTCTATTCTGTGAAAGATACTACTGGTATTTTGATAGGGATTGCATTGAATCTGTAAATTTTGGGGGGGCAGTATGGACATTTAGCAATATTCTTCCATCCATGAGCATGGTATATATTTTGTGCCATCTTCAACTTCTTTCATCAATGTCTTATAATTTTTAGAGTATAGCTCTTTTACTTCGGTTTAATTTATTCCTAGGTATTTTATTCTTTTTGATGCAATTGCAAATGGGATTATTGTCTTAATTTCTCTTTCTGCTAATGTTATTAGTATATAGAAACATAACAGACTTCTGTATATTAATTTTACATCCTGTGACTTTACTGAGTTCATTTATTCTATTAGTGTTCTGGTGGAGTTTTTAGGGTTTTCTTTATGTTGTATCGTGTCATTTGCAAATGGTGACAGTTGTATTTGTTCCTTACCAATTTGGACTCCTTTTATTTCTTCTCTGATTGCTGTGGCTAGGACTTCTAGTTCTATACTGAATAAAAGTGGCAAGGGTGGGCACCTTTGTCTTGTTCCTGATCTTAAAGGAAAAGCTCTCCATTTTTTACCATTGAGTATCAGGTTAGCTGTGGGTTTGTCATGTATGGCCTTTATTATGTTGAGGTATGTTCCCGCTAAACCCACCTTGTTGAGAGTTTTTATTATAAATGGATGTTGAATTTTGACATATGCTTTTTCCTGCATCTATTGAGATGACCATATGATTTTTAGCCTTCATTTTGTTGATATGGTGTATGGTGTTGATTTTGCATTTATTGAAGCACACTTGTATCCCTGGAATAAATCCCACTTGATTGTGGTGAATGATCCTTTTAATGTATTGTTGAGTTTAGTTTGCTAATATTTGGTTGAGGATTTTTGTATCTATGTTCATCAAGGTTATTGGCCTGTATTTTTTTTTTTTTTTTTTTTTTTTTGGGTAGTGTCTTTGTCTAGCTTTAGTATCAGTGTAATGCTGGCCTCATAGAATGGAATTCAAAAGTTTTCCTTCCTCTATTTTTTTGCAGTAGTATGAGAGGAGTAGTATTAATTCATTTAAATGTTTGTTAGAATTCCCCTGTGAAATCATCTGGTCCTAGACTTTGTCTTTTGTGGGGAGTTGTTTTTTTGTTTTTGTTTTGTTTCTCAATTCAATTTTATAACTAGTAATTAGTCTGTTCCAATTGTCTATTTCTTCCTGATTCAGTCTTAGAAGATTGTATGTTTCTAGGAAGGTATCCATTTATTCTAGGTTGTCCAATTTGTTAACATACAATTTTTTTTGTAGTAGTCTCTTCTAATCATTTGTATTTCTGTGTTGTCAGTAGTTACTACTTTTTCATTTTGGGTTGTATTTAAGTTCTCTCTCCTTTTTTCTTACTAGTCTGGCAAAACGTTTATCAGTGTTATCTTTTCAAAGAACCAGCTCTTGGTTTCCTTGGCCTTTTTTTTTTTTACTCTATTTCATTTAGTTCCACTCTCATCTTTATCATTTCCTTCTTTCTTACTTTGGGATTTAGTTCTTTTTCCAGTTCCTTTAGGTGTAGGGTTGAACTGTTTATTTGACTTTATGTTTTTGTTTCTTGACTTAGGCCTCTATCACTATAAATTTCCCTCCTTCATTGAATTCTTTTGTTCCAAAAATTTTGGACTGTTGTGTCTTCATTTCTATTAATCTCCTTGTATTTTTTTTTATTTCCTCTGACTTCTTCATTGATGCATTAGTTGTTTAGTAGCATGTTGTTTAGTCTCCAAGTGTTTGTGTTGTTTTTTTTTTAAGTTTTTTATTTATTTATTTGACAGAGAGACACAGTGAGAGCAGGAACACAAGCAGGGGGAGTGGGAGAGGGAGAAGCAGGCTTCCCGCTGAGCAGGGAGCCCGAGGTGGGACTCGATCCCAGGACCCTGGGATCATGACCTGAGCCGAAGGCAGACACTTAATGACTGAGCCACCCAGGCGCCCTCCAAGTGTTTGTGATTTTTTACCAGCTTTTTCTATCATTGATATCTAGTTTCATACTGTCTTGGTCAGAAAAACTGCTTGATATGATTTCAGTCTTAAATTTATTGAGCCTGGTTTGGAGTTTAACATGAGCTGTCTGAATAATGTTACATGTGTATTTAAAGTATGTGTGTCCTACAGCTCTTGGATGGAATGTTTTACATATATCTGCAAATCCACCTAGTCCAATGTGCCATTCAAATCACGTTTCCTTACTGGTGTTTTTTGTCTGGATGATCTATCCATTGATGTAAGTGGGGTGTTAAAGTCCCCTATTTTATTACTGTCAAATTCTCCCCTTATGTCTGTTTAATATTTACCGTATATATTTAAGTGCTTCTATGTTAGGTGCATAAATATTTACAATTGTTATCTCCTCTTGTTAGAGTGATCCT